GGGCCTGATTGATTTATTAAGACTGCTCCGTGATTCCACTTTTTAAAAATTTATTATGCCTGGCATCTTGTCTTTTACCACGCAGGCGGGCAGGCAGGCACGCCTCAAAAACGTGAGAGCAACTCGTTACCCGCAGTCGGTGTACTTTATCGGTAACGACTTCTTCGGGAAGAGGCGCCGACGCTGCTCTCTCGTCTCTGGACGAGTCGGTGGCCACCGGGGTACCGCGTAGCACCGTTGGCGTGGGATTCGCTCCTAAACGAATACAGAATAATCGATACGCTATGAATCGTCATCGATTTAAGTTATTAACGGTTGACAAGCAAGGCTGGTTTGTATCGTTTATGGATCGTCACCTACCGACTGATTTAACGCTGCGCGGTAATACTCTTTCTGGCAGTCCATTAAATAACAAAACTCATTCGTTCATTCACGCTAGGTGTGCACCCCTTCATTGATAGCCGGAGAAGGAATACATACGTACGTACGTACGTACGTACCAGCGGATCGTCGCGGATTGCATGTGACTCGATTAGTAGTAAGAAGTATGATGAACTACCGACTCCTAAAGTTCGATTGCGGCGCTCCTTTAGGACCTTGCGACGCTCTTGGTTAACGTCAGCGTTCTCCGGCCCCTGCGTGATCACGCGTTAATTGTTCATTAGCTCTTACGCCGCGTCAGTCAGTCTTACTCACCTCGTCGTCGCCCTTTGCGATCGAGCGATGCTTACTTGTTAAGCAATTACCGAGGATGACGCACGCGCCTTCCATAGGCTGGCTCCCGTTCCTCACCCAGCACTCATTCTTGATCGAGTCATTCGTTACAAACGTGAGCTCGATCGGGTGGATGTTGATCAATTCCAGCAGAAGTTGGCCTGTATCGCCCTGTTGAAAATTATTAATTTACATATGAGTTACCGGTTCATTAATCATTCATTACATTCCTTAACCGTAGGGCTGGTGTATGTTAATTCTATCAACAATTCATGGGGAGCGATACATTAATCTCTGTCCCAAGCCAGCCCTGCCCCACTGGCCTCCGTGCAGACCACCCACCCGCCCCTGTCCCAGAAGAGTTCTGTGTTAAGAAGAGCAACGCCCACACCCCGTCCGTTTTTTATTATCATTTCCTTATCTATTTATTTTCTCAGTCTTTCCTCCCCAG